AGCCTATGAGCACTCTACTTACCACACTGAATTTCACACATCCTCAATGTCATTAACAACGTATCAGTAGCCGGACACATAACGTATGTAATTAGCTCGCGCTTAACACCCATGCCATTGAACAACACATTAACTTGACCACACTCACTCGTTTTCTACCTATACACAAGGTCTCTCCAGTGGCTATCCTGAGCCGAGCACTCTGCACTAAGCGAGGAGTGGCTGAAATAAGAAGTCACGGAGGCTGTGGCCAGCAAATCTGACAAGCGCAATCTTTGTAAACTCCAACTTATGTAATGTAATTTGATATCTTCAAACTGACCTACAGTTTGTGCATGTGGACACACGAACAGTTGTATAGTTATTGCACTTCTATTTCTATGGAACGTAATACTCAATGCTTGCACCTAGCACAGTCATAATACATTAGTTTGGATCAGGTTAACTTTACGCATCCAATAGACATGGTTTTACAAAACAGTTTCCTCCACATCTTTAAGCTCGTAACCAAAGCCGCTTTTCATACTTCATGCATACTATCACACGGATAATTATGTGGTGGTTTAATCCCATTCACTTCCGATAAATGGTTTTCAGCGCATGATTTTCTCGTCTATCTTACGATTTCACGCTCAGTCCTATACAGTCAATTCTAAGCAAGCTGTGCTTCAGTTTGTGTATTCACATCATAAGTACCCAGTGCTGACATTTAGACACTGACATCCGCCAACTACAAGCCAGACTAACATTTTTAATCCCACATAGTCTGCATTCATCGATAACGTATTCAAACGGAGACAAAGGTGCCAACAATAAGCGAAGTGTAAGCACCCGATCGTGACGCCGAAAGCGAACAGCATATATCCTCCACTTCATGTTGCAAGGTTTCGGTGTTGGAATTAAGCAAAACAGCACCCATACCTAAGCAACACCCTCTAAGTTCCGCCCTTAGATCAAAGAGTGAAGTCAGTTGTGCCAATTACTGGGACCGATCCTAATCCCCAAAGCCAGCAAATCACATTCGACGTGGCTGCCTTCATCTCAATCTCAAGGCCGAGAATTCGGTCACGACGAACGTAGCTCAGAACGGGGGACGGTGCGGCAAGATATTCAATGGTCGGCTAGATGATTGCGCCGGAATGAAACACCATAAAACCATCATTTTTGCCAAGAACAAATGGTGAGACAGCCTGCATGGTTATCTATAGCACCGCCTAATAAAAAACGCCGAGCATCAGCGACAACTCTCAAAACAGTTGCCGCTTGACCGAAAAATTAGGAGTAATTCCATGCGCGCTAATATCTCTTGATCCACAAAAGTACGGTGCTGCAGGGCTGTAGCCCGCAAAGCCCATCCGCGATTTGAACGTTATTTGGGTTAAACTCAACAACAGATCCAGGACAACACGAATAAAGTAGGCTTCCTTGAGCAACGATATGTTTGGCAGAGGAGACGGATATAGCCCTTTTGTAACTTATTTAATTGGTGGGCATAAAGCGTGAATTCTCTTGGGCGCCAAAAATAAAATGACAGCCAAGACAAACCCTCCAGAAATGAGAGCAACAAAGTATAATTTTACTAGTGATCCTGCGTTTTAATGAGCAGCTCTTGATCATAAAGTGCAAACGTGACAAGGTACTTTGGTGCTATATTGGCGAAAATCTCCCTCTGGACCACGTATTGCTAAATCACTAATGAGAATTCCTTTATCGCAAAACTACAAGGGCTGCTGTCCAAAAATAGTGAAAGTCGTACTACACTCCGATAGAATGACAGAAGTCCTATTAGATAGCTGGTTGAAGCATGTTAGACAGGCATGCGCTTCACAATCGCTCGCTGTTAGTTTGACATTCGTGACTGTCTCCTCACGTGGTTGTGGTGGACACACGCACGACAGTCGTTCAGAGACAGACCGCTCATCATACATGACTAGGTACTTTCAAGTGCTTAGCCTATTGCTCTATTGATCTTTGGCATCCCGGTTGCTCGGCTTTGTCAGTTTTTCAATACGACTGGTCCCGCACGATGTTCTTGCTTCCCGTTCGGAGTGGGTTAAGTTACAGTCAGACATTATACTAAAGCATCGCACCAAGTTGGTTAACGAGACTAGGCTAAAGATACCAGGCGCACGGCCACTAGCTTTCAGCATTTCATTGAAATATGCAACCTCAGTAAAATGTTTGCCTCCATAATTCTGTAGAGTTGCAGACAATATGGCATTAACAATATCTGACGGGACAGGGAGACACACGAGAGAACATCTTGATCTGAGATACTCCATGCTATCACGCAGCCTACCTAAAATTCAGGAACAAATGGCCCACTAAAAGAACGCTTGGCTATCGACCGACGAACTGTCAGCTTAAACTAAACAGGCATTTGTTGTCCACCCACAGGCTTCTAACATCAAAAACACTATCATGTTTGTATACTAACGTTCAAGGTGTTCTTTGTAACTTGGCCGAACTTAGAGAACGCCAAACGTCACAACCGCGGAATCTCATTGTGATTATGGAGACCTGGTTAAGCCATGAAATAGCAGCTTTTGAAGTTAATTTACCTGGTATGTCACTGCTTCGGAATGACAGAGGTGGAAGAGGTGGTGGCGTAATTTGTATTACAAGGCTAACCTCCGACGCGAACTTATTGACCACCCAGAGCTACGTGCCCCTGCTTCGCTTTGGTGCCGGTTATGGTTGCGGAACAGACACACGCCTTATAGCTGTCCTTTACCGTCCACCAAACTCTACGAGTGAATAGCACTCTGAAAGAAAGCACGTTCTACAGTTTGCTTTAAGCAAGACATACAGTTACATTCTCATCGCAGGCGACTTTAATGTGCATTATCTGGATATAGCGGCGACCGATAACATGCAGTTTAAAGCCTGTTTACAAAAGGTAATTTGCATCTACCCTTTGCACAACCCCGTGACCTCTCCCACCAGATTTCGAACTGCTAACAAGCCGTCGTTACTTAATCTTGTGCTCACCAACGAAGAAATGGTAAACGGAATAATTACAAGCACACCACTAGATCGCAGTGACCATGTGGCACTGCTGTTTAAGTGTGTATGTTATGCGGAATATCCTGAGGAAGAGGATGATAAAGTGTATACCGTCACGCAATACAACGTGTCATCCGCGCATGTTAAGGAATTATCATGGACCTCCTTACCTGAGTGCCCCCAGAAATCGCCTGGGACACTTTCTCAAGGACATTTGCCACACTGGTAACGCACGCGTCAAAGCAGAAGGAGGTCATGTTCGAGGAGCAGCACATGTAAATGCATGTCCATTGAGGGAAGCAGCATGGAGAGCTCACAGGGACTTTCCGAATTCCGAAATCTGGGATCGCCCATGTAGCACAGTGTA